ACAAAGACAGACACAGGCACAAACACACAGAGTACACTTCAGTACAATCACAGACGCAGGCACAAAGACATATACAAGAAGAGCAGATTGAAGTACCTTCATTTGCAGATGTTGACGCATTGATCTGTGGGATATGTTCTTCAGTCTGTAACTGATCATCTGCTAGAACTGTCTCATCTGGATCAACCGGAGGAGTATCTTCCGGCAGGAGTCTGAGTGGGTCTATCGGGACAGCCATGGATCGCTCTCCGTACCTTGCTGAAATAAAGACAAAGGTCAACGACGGATGTCGCATGTCAGTCCTGTAACTAAATGTAATGCAAAATAGTGAATAAATAATTTTTACATCTGAACGATTGTTCATTGATTCTTTGAATCTGTTCATTGATTCAAAGAATCAATGAACAAAAGTTCAGGATTTTACCTTCTGTTAAGCTGTTAGCACTGACTCTAGCCCCCTCTCCCTACAAAACGACCATATCTCGGGCTGAAGCTTTCAACCGTCTTGCCTCAGCAGCCATCTAGCACAGTCGACCTGTCCTGTTAATTATGTGATCATCAAGTTACCAAATTTAATCCTTCAATATTCAAATAATTGATTATCAGACAAAACAGAGTTTAGAGCTCGACGTATGCTTCAGGGTTTCACACTGTGCTGTAATCAAACGCATGACTAAAACCTCTTGCTACTATTACCAATGTTAGATAAACCCATATTGTTAAGGCGGTCAAATGATTTACCTGAGTTGATCGCGTCCATGAAAGGGTTCAACTGCGCTCTGTCCAGCTTGTTAATGTCCGCTCCAGCAGCCAGCAGTGCCTCCGCCTCCGTCACTCTCCCTGCTTTGCATGGCCAGTGAAGCGTAGAGCTCCCCTCTAAGCTCTGTGACGATCCGACGAAGGATCCAGATTCCCTTCTTTTCTTTTGAGATTGCTTCAATTCTTCCTGGAGTATGCGGATTACCATTTTTATACTTCCATACAGGGCGCGTGAACAATCAGCAATGAATTATCAATTAATCAATCTAGTTTTTGAGTAAAAAGTCCACAGATTGTGATACATTGGATTTGATATTGGAAAAGACATGGCTCACCAAGTACCTTTTCATGTGCTTTTTGGAGGACAGGGATGACTTATTCCCAAGGGTCGACCGAGTCCTCGGCCTCGGCCTCGGTTTTACCGAGGAATGGCGATTTTTCCTCGGCCTCGGCCTCGGCCTCGGTCAGGAGGACAATTCCTCGGTTCGCCTCGGCCTCGGTCAAAAATAGATTCGAAATTCCTCGGCCTCGGCGAAATTTGACGATTTTACCGAGGATTTGACCGAGGATTTTTGTAAGGTTTGTGAGGTTAATGTAAACGAATTTGTAAAATTGAAAATAAAACGACCAATTGACCAGGACACAAAACTAAAAATATCATAGTCTAAGATTCATCGTCTGATGAAATGACAATATCTGAGCACTCTGAATCAGAATAATCTTCTGTGCACAGCTCAGAAGAAGGGGGACAGTCCTCTTTATTTGGGGCTTCAAATTCATTTGGACAGGGGCCGAAGTTGTCCCCAAATGTTCCGATGTTCTTTTTGAGAAACAAGCACCCCTCAAAGTTTGTTGGCTTAAGGCTGAGGCGATTTAACTTCAGGATGTGCCCTGCTGTAGAAAACAATCTCTCTGGTGCTGCTGAGCTCGCCGGCGCAGATAGATATTTCCTTGAACGCTCAGCAAGGTTCGGATAGGGGTGGGCGACAATTGACCCCCCGACAATTGACCCCCCGACAATTGACCCCCGACAATTTACCCCCCGACAATTGACCCACGGCTGACCTTGACCCTGACCCAGGACCCAGGACCCAAGACCCAGGACCCAGGACCCTGACCCTGACCCTGACCCTGACCCTGACCCTGACCCTGACCCTGACCCTGACCCTGACCCTGACCCTGACCCTAACCCTGACCCTGACCCAGGACCCTAACCGTAACCCTAACCCTAACCCTAACCCTGACCCAGGACCCTAACCCTAACCCTAACCCTAACCCTAACCCTGACCCAGGACCCGATCAATTGACCCCAGTGTAATTACATGGGGGTCAATTGTCGGGGGGTCAATTGTCGTACTAAACCCTAGATTTCGCGACAATTGACCCCAGTGTAATTACATAGGGGTCAATTGTCGGGGGGTCAATTGTCGGGGGGTCAATTGTCGGGGGTCAATTGTCGGGGGGTCAATTGTCGCGGTACCTCGGATAGCTCTGCTTATTAGCATGCCCACTCCTGACTCTTGGCGAACTTGCCCCTTCATAATGATTGTAACGTGTGTACACAGTATAGTACACAGTACAATCTGATTAGGTACAGTGCGCTTTTCCTAATAAACAATGCCCTTTTTCCCAACAATTTTTCTGCCAAAATTCCTCGGCCTCGGCCTCGGCCTCGGTCAAAATTTGCACTCCTCGGCCTCGGCCTCGGCCTCGGTCAAAAAAAGAAACCTCGGTTGTCCTCGGCCTCGGTCTTAACTAACTGTATTTTCCTCGGCCTCGGCCTCGGTCGAAAATCCTGCCCTCGGTCGACCCCTGCTTATTCCTGCGTGCCATTTCACCATAACTATCTGCTGTAACAGCAAAAATTAGAATTATGTCGGACATAATTCTAAAAAATTGGAACATTGTAGTTAATCAGTGTGGTGCTAACAACAGAGAGCGATTTGAACGGTAGGCAATTTCATAAATTTCATTAACTCGATATAAGGATGATTGGAACAGGCTAAAATCTACAATGTGGCATTAATAACTGGCTATATCGCTGCATTAAACGATTAAAGTATTGCTAACTATGGATATTCTAAGTGATCTAGGCAGAGGGGAACCGGCACAGCCAGATTGCGTTGTCTTCACTTTCAGTGACTAAGTTTCACGATAGAAAGGGGAGTAGGGGATTATGACGGAGTGAAATTTATTTAGCAGGGCAAACAAAAAACAACTGACAGCACTGAGCAAGTGAACTGGAAAATTGAGGAACGAAAATAACAGTGGTTGTCAGCCCTTTCCGTAGCAATCAGGATTTCCCAGGAGATCGATCAGGCAATCAGGATTTCCCACGAGAATGCTCGAGTCAACGCGCGCACTTGTGTCACGTGACGGCCACGTGACGCTCTAATCGTTGTCACGTGGTACAGAAGGGATGTTCTGATAGCGTCGATCTCGACAAGAGGGAGTTTCTCACGGTTTATCTTCAATAACTATCGCTATTTTTATAGTAGAGAGTTGAAACTTTCACCAAATGTTTCCCTAGACATTTCTGCATGGTAACTGTGTCATAGAATTTTAATTTGGGGACCCAATTTTGTGCAACACTCCGGTATCTGACGACCGGTCGCGGACTTGGTTATTGTATTGTCAACTTCTATTGCACACTGAGCGAGCTATATTTTGAGTACAAAGATAAACTTTACACCAGGTGAAAGCTGAGACGTTTCTCTTTAAGATGATCACCTCACACTCTGTGTATCTGTGACATTGAGATAGTAACGATTCAAAACGTCAAGTTGAACAGGCTACAAAATACGCGCTGAATAAAAGTCCACCCCAGGAGTCCACCCCACGCGCGTAGGGTGTATATACTGTTTGACATTCTCCCGTTTTGGGCATTCATCAACAAAAAAAAATAATGTGCCTGTAAGACTATTTAGCCCAGGATACCAAAATTAAGTACATGTTTAATGCTACTATTTTAGGATGCACGAAATTTAAAACAATTTTTAATGAATAGAATATCTCCAAAACTAAGCACTATAAACCCTATGTTGCTTTATAGCTTGTATGTAAATTTAGCCTTTCCAGTTAGTATGACAGCTAAAAGAGAGGCCCCTACAACTTTCAGAAGCCGAGATACAAAAGTCATATATTTGCGCTTGAGGGTAATTTAGAAATTTCCCCCAAAGGGTTGGGACTACTGATAGAAATTGTGTACCTTATCAATTCTGATCCAGAATGACCTTACAAAGGACCTGGTTTCTAGAAAAGTTGTAGACACCAAACCGCATACTCGATTTCATTCAGCTTCTTATTGTCTTTTCAAAAAATTGTCTTTTCTCTAGAGTAGATTTTTTTCACTCGCTCCAGTGAAAATCAGTTTTTGTGGATTTTTTCCAAAAGTAAGCATTTTTGGCCTTTATAACCTTTGTAGTGTCAATTTAAACATAAAACATGTGTATTGCAGTCATTTTAAGCTAAAAGTTTGAGTCTCTAAGACCTTTAGAAGCTGAGATACAAATTTTATGAAATTTGTGTCTACGCCTGAGCTTAAAATTAGTTTTTTTGCAGATATCTCGAAAACAAACAATTTTAGACCATACATCGATTAATAAGTTGTATATAAATGTGGCCATTGCGGTAATTTTAAGCTAAAATTTAAGTCTCTATGACCCTCAGGAGCCGAAATACAAAAATCCTGTATATACGCGACTGAGGTTAATTTAGAAAATTTGCCCTGTAGGGTTGTCTCTAGCGAAACAAATTGTGCACCTAAACGATTTTGGTTTAGAATGACCTAACAAACAACCCTGTGTTGTCAGAACTTGTGGACATCGAAGTGCACACTCAACTACACTCTGCTACTAGAGTACTTGTACACATATCACAAATTATTTTATTTTTATAAAACCACTTCTGTGAAATGGTTATTTTGACTTTAAATACTTGAACTAAATATGAATTGATTGTGGGTATAAAATAAAATTTTGTTTTATTAAATTTTGTGTTATTAGACGGTGGAGAATGTTAGGACATGTTTTGCAGGGTCATGTTGATGGACTAGCAAATTCCTCAAGGGCATAATATTGCATGTTGGCCCCTGTTTCTAGAGCAAAACACACATCCTTGCTATTAGTTAATAGTTAAAAGTTAAGTTTTTTTAATTGTCGCACATTCAAATGATGATTTGACGCCTCCCTAAGATACATATAAGATGCATGTAAATTTCAATTTATAAACCTTATTTCTTTAGGTATTTAATGATAAGGAAATGTATAAATGGATTATCCTGGCATTAGTTCTAGTTGCTGAAACGAAAATCCACCCTGGTATTTTCTACTTTCCTTCAGAAGAGGTTTGTGGTCATGCTTTTTGATTTTAACAGTAATTTTGATTTCAAATTCCAATTTGATGCCTTTAAGAGGGAAGGGGGCGGGGGTCTTTATGAAATTTCTCTCGAAATTGATTTTATAGTTGTTTCTGATAGAAGGGAGTGATATCTATCTGCTGCTTTTAGTCCCATGAAAAAATATTGTTTCTAGCCGAAATTATTGCTGGTCAAAGGTCAGCGCTCATGTGTAATTGTATTGCGGGAGCGATTTTCAATTGCGCGCCCTGAAAATCGAGTCTAAAAATCTATCTTCTCCTACAGTTTTTGAGCAATCACCTTGAAACTTTCAGGATATGTTCTAAGGACAATTTAAAAGATTTCCTTCGATCAGAATTTTAAGATAGGCCTTAGAAAATGTTTTATTCCATTTTGAAAATCTTGGACCTGGAAAAATCGTGAAAAAATGAGGTCCAAGATTTTCAAAATGGAATAAAAAAATTGCTAAGCCCTGTCTTAAAATTCTGATCACCACCAAGTTTCAAAGTGATTGCTCAAAAAATGTAGGAGAAGATAGATTTTTAGACTCGATTTTCAAGGCTCGTGATTGAAAATCGCTCGTGCAATACAATTACACATGAGCGCTGACCTTTGACCAGCAATAATTTCGGCTAGGAACAATATTTTTCTAGGGATCAAAAGCAGCAGATAGATATCACTCCCCTCTATCAGAAACAACTATAAAATCAATTTCGAGAGAAATTTCATAAAGACCCTGCCCCCTTAACTATAACTATATGACTTCTTGACCAGCAATGTATAGTTTAATAAACAATCAATCTAGAAAATTCGCACTGTTTTACAGGATGTTGGTGATAGCCCAGGAGGCACATCCCGGCCAAGGACATTTTTCAGCAGCTCCTCCTTAGATGGAATGTGTAAGTATTTAGGTTTATTGTTAGGTTAAATAATTGCTAGAACCACGACATTCTTAATATTTGAAACAAATAATCGATGACTGTAAATCCCATTCAATTAAAAGTAAAAATATATGGAGAAAGACTAGATATTTTATTTCCCTAGCCTCATTTAATAAATCTAGAAGTTTGTATAACCTAACCATTTGCCAGTCACATGTAAGCAGCCTGCTGTGGACGTCCAATCTAACTACACAATCAGTGTTTGGAGTTTCAAAACTCAGTGCTACAGAATTTATAACGATGAAGTCAACAGACAGATGGTGAATAGCAATTTTTGTGATTCCTTGTTAATGCATATTTTTGAATAGCACCATGATACTTATTATAAATCAGCAGGCTTTTATCTTACTAAGATGACATGACACTATCTGTATTTAACTATGTGTTTCTATTTAACTACATAGTACATAATATGGCATACATTAGGAATGAGGGAGCCATTCAGTGGTGCTCCTTACATCACAGACACAGCATATTTCAACTAATTAAACCACCAGGTATCAGGAATAGTAAACTACCTGTTAGCACCAACAGAAGACAACAAGCGCTTTGTGGATAGCTGGGCAAGTAACTGGGACACTACCTGGATCAGGTGCTATGAGATGGAGGTCACGTGTGACTCCTTCAACCCTGCTATCCCTGACAAGTTCTCTTCTGGCTGGAGGTATTGTTAGATTTGTAGTTAAATTTAGTTATCGTAATGTTGCTTTCAGGAGGTTACATTAACTTTGTTAGACTTACTTTTACATCAGATGTGACTCAAGCGAGCATTAAATAGTTGTGTCCAGTATCCCTTTAGCCTGTTTTCTTCTCAATGAAATGTTACTCAATAATTGTTACAGGTTATGCAAGGGGTATGAGTAGTTTTGTAGTTGATTGATTGATTGAAAGCCCCTCGTAAGGGGATTGTCTCTAATGAACTAATTTATTGTTTACATCATAATGACATAATCAGTTATAAATAAAAACCCCGAAGGGCACCCCTGAAAACATAACTACTAGAAAATATATCAAAATTTAATAGAAAAATGAGGTCAAATGTAATAAATCGTAACAAACTGCATCTGCAATTAATAGCATATAAATTTTGAATTTGTAATTTAATGATACAGCAAATTATAAAAAATGTAATAAAAATCAAGCAAAAGTTTTGTTCACAAATCACATTTACAATGGGTGATAAGAATTGAATTAAATTAGAAACTTAATTCTGGACGTTGGATTTAGCCCCAATTAGCAGCAAAAACAATTACGAATTTCTATTTCTATTGGACCTACGGAGGCCGCTGATTTCGTGGATGATAAATTTACTCGTGTACCACTCATTTACATTATCAACCCCATTCTGCAGCTTCAGTATTGTTCTCTTGCATTGTGATTTGATCGCCTTCAGCGATTGGCATGACACTGAATTAAATGCTTCGTCTATCGATGAGTCTACAAGAATATTGAAGAATATTGAATTTCTATGTGTGGCAGTGTTGCCGTCATTGAACCATTTATAGTTAGCCTCAGTGATAACTTCTGAGTTTCGAGACGGTACATTTTCGTGAATAGTAGTAGTTAAATTTAGTTATCATAATGTTGTTTTCAGGAGGTTACATTAACTTTGTTAGACTAACTTTTACATCAGATGTGACTCAAGCGAGCATTAAATAGTTGTGTCCATTAACCAGTAGCCCTTTAGCCTGTTTTCTTCTCAATGAAATGTTACTCAATAATTGTTACAGGTTATGCAAGGGGTATGAGCAGTATAGAAAAATGTCAAACAAGGACGATACTGAACCTAAAGCAGAAACTGAATCAGACACTAAACCAGAAGATAAGGTTGCTGAAGATACAGAGAAAGTAGAGGATGATGACGGTAATTTATATATATATATATATATAAATTATATATTACAGCAATTGTTTTTAGTTGACAGGGCAAGGAATTTTATTCGTTACCTAGGAACAGGTTATTGATCTAAGACAGTAAGTTATAAAAGACTGATTGTTAAAGGGCGGATTATCTCGCCGGTCATTGTTTAACGTTTCCAACTTCTAAATACTGACATACTGGCAGGCCGAAAGAAGAGGGATACAGGAGATACAATCAAAGCGGGTATCAAAGACTTCGCTAAGGGCGAGGATCCTCTGTCTGCTAAAAGAACCTACAACCTTATCAACGTACGTATTCTGACAACACACAACAACAATTATACTGCTCATTAAATATTGCTCATTTTATCATTTTTGTCTAATCTAAAAAAGGTATTTTTTAAAGTATAGGTATTTATTTTATAAGTAGGATATTTATAATTATTCTCGTTCGTAACTGTTTCTAAGTACATGTACTACAAAGTCTCGCTGTGTAACAGTAGATGTACAACTTGAAACACTGAATCATTCCAGTTTCTGAAAACTGTTCTTTGTATTTTCCGTCAATTGTCTATTGGTGGAGATGTTAATTCTTTGTCTTTTTTTCTAAAGCTCGCTGTAAAGCTGTAACAGTCTTAACATAGTAAAATGTTCCGCCAATATAATTAGTTCTACACTGTCAATACTTTATTGGTTCTAATATATGCTAATATATGCTAATATATGCTAAACACGTTTCTACTGTGCTATTAGTGCTTGCATATCACATAATATGTACAGTAAACGCATGTATTTTGTACATGCAAAAATTCAGCATAATATCACTGCATCAGTAATCATTACATTACTCATGGTACACGTTTAACAAAGTAAGAAGCCGTTAATGTTACACATTTTATAAATATCATCTGCTCCCATGTACAGTTGTGAAGGTGTGACTAAATGTACAGTTGTAACATAATGGCACACTCATGTTACATGTTATATGTTACATGTTACATGTTACATGTTACATGATACATGTTACATGTTACATGATACATGTTACATGACGACGTTAAGTTGCAGAGGTGCTATTAATTGAGTGTATTTAAACTAAAATGGTGTACTGTCTTATAGTGTATAGCTATATAAAAGTGTATATTGTACAGTACACTGTTCCTAGTCTGGTGTGCGCGTGTCTCACAGAATACGTGCTGTAATTTAATGATGTGAACTTGAGGACGGAGAGAGAGTGAGGGGGGAGTGCAAGTGAGGGGGGAGAGAGTGAGAGGGGAGGAGAGTGAGGGGGGAGGAGAGTGAGGGGGAGAGAGAGTGAGGGGGAGAGAGTGAGGGGGAGAGAGAGTGAGGGGGAGAGAGAGTGAGGGGGAGAGAGTGAGGGGGGAGAGAGTGAGGGTGACGGGACCTCAGTCGTTATGGCAGAGAGTGAGTTATTTTCACTCGCTGTTATATTTCTAGTAGTATTATCTACCTTGTACAACACAATCAATACTAGTAGACACGGGTTACACTAGTAGTTATATAATAGTAGTACTGATAATAAAACCACAATGTGTTACTAAAACCCAGTCAAGCTGTAAACCACCTTATTAATGTTGTACCGTTGAGGAGTTGAACTTTAGCATACTCTTAATATACTACTTATTATAATAACATACTTCTGTTAATTGTAACCTGACTCTAATAAATAAACCTGAGTATAGTTTGAGAGAATATGATTAGTGGTAGTAAAGTGTGCGGGAAGGGCCAGGGGAGGGGGGGGGTTCTCACAGAAATTAACGGTTTGAACTGCAGTTGACTGGACAGTTTATCCCAACTTCTTATGAAATTAAAATACCCAACACAAATAGTAACAACACGGCACAGTCAATACTGTTAACAGTTATATTTAATTAAATCTAACGCTATATTTGTGCATCTTAATAAAGTACCGAAGTAAGTTTAGATATAAACCTAAAATATCATTCCTATTTAATAGAAGTATAATGTATTACTGAAATAACTTATATAATTAATTACAGGTAACTAAGACAGGTTCATTCTATATTGGCTGGCAGGTTACAGGCTCTCAGAACTCTCCAGTTAACAGAGAATATGTGAGTATACTATACATGTATCTCTAGTGTGTAATTATAATAGTGGGTAACAATATTATCCCACCCTCCTCCACCTTTGTAGCTGATTAGTGGATAAGTAGAGTGTGGTTCCTTAATATCAGCTAGGAATTATCCCAATTTAACCGACTACACTTTAGTCACATTATAATTATTTTATTTCAGCATGTTCTACAAATTGTATCACTTATGTTGCTATGTATGATGTTATTTACATGATGGTAACCATGGTAACTATTTAGGTGGAGCTAACTATAAAAGCAAGAGATAGGAACCTCAACAGTTACCTGGAGGCTAAAGATTACCCTCTTTTGATCTTCTTTGGTATTCTGAGTGGTATATACGCTGTTCTAGGTATGTTACAAAATATTTAACATATTTAACGTATTTACGCTGTCCTAGGTATGTTACAAAATAATCTCGCTAACTTCTTCTCTCGCTCAAGAAGCTTCTTCTTATTTAAATCGGTGTAAAAATTTGATCAGCGTATGTATAATAGAGGTTGATAATGTTGACGTATCATTACAGCGTTGGTATGGTTGATAGTATGTGGTATTCACTACAGAGATATCCTACAAATACAGATATGGATAGGAGGAATGCTGGCTCTCAATATGGTGGAGATGAGCGTATTTTGTAACAAATATCAGGTTTGTGGTTATATTCTAAGTATTATATTAGTAGTTGAGGCTCTTTTTCTAACACACACTAGTTTGTACACAAAACTAGTTTGTACACAAAACTAGCTACTCCTTATTACTCCTCCTTATTTACCAGACGGTTAACAATGGACACGAAGTATCGGACGGTTTGGTGGTATTTGCAGAGCTCCTTTCAACCTTCAAACATGGCTTATCTCGTATCCTGGTACTTATCATTTGTATGGGATACGGCATCGTTAAACCCAGGTAATACTCCTCTCTCTCTTTATCTCTCTCTCTCTCTCTCTCTCTCTCTCTCTCTCTCTCTCTCTCTCTCTCTCTCTCTCTCTCTCTCTCTCTCTCTCTCTCTCTCTCTCTCTCTCTCTCTCTCTCTTTATCTCTGATTGGTTAGCTTGACTCACGTGATTAGAAAACAACTTTCTTGATGTTATCTGTTTGTTTACCCGTGTAATTGTCAGGTAATTACCGTGTAATTAAGTAATTACCGTTCTAATTATCAGGTTAGGAACAACAAAACATCTTGTGTTGGCTCTGGGTCTGGCGTACTGTCTCTTTGTCTCCATCGACAGTATATACGTTAAATTAGTGGTAAGTAAAGTTACACTCTTGCTTAATTACTTTTCAGTCTTTATCTGTACGACAGAATAACATTGTACGCAATGTCAATGACGTCATCATGAGTCATGACGTCATCATCCGTCATCGTACAATGTCAATGACGTCGGACTTGTTGTATTCTTTTCGATTATAACAAATTTGTTTATTACATAGATCCCCAATCATAGTGAGAAAGTGAAACTCCAGTAATATAATTGAGAATGGACCCCTCTAAATACACATACCTTCTGTAATCTGTTACATCCCCAATAAATGTAATAGATTTGCAGTGTAATTACCTACTAGTTGTAGTGTAATTAGTTAGTGTAATTAGTTTAGATTTGTAGTGTTATTAGTAGTGTTAATAAGTGTAATTATTAATGTAATTAGTAGTGTAATTAGTGTAATTAGTTAAAACCTCCCTCCTGACCAGGCTCCCACCAAACCAATGACACAGAGACAGCGGCTGTACGCCTACATCCCCCGTGCTGTGGTTAACGCTGTACTTATCTGGTGGATCATTGCTTCTCTCGTCTCCACCATCAGAACTCTTAGAATGAGGTGATTATCTAATTACCGTAATTAATTACCCTTACAAATAACTCTGCAGAGATGAAGTGCTGACACTTCACTAGGTACACCAGGTTGAGCCCCTATTTCTTACTTTTAAAAACATAATTTAAATCTCTTTAAAACCAGTACAGAGTCTGGTTATCGAATTAGGATAGTATAAGGAAAGTCGTAATAAATGCAAATATATTGAACAAGTTACCATGGTTACACGACACACCTTGAGTATATCATTTGTGTTATAATTTTAGTATCGAAGAGGAATGCAGTTAGTGATTTAAACACATTTTTTAGGAGGAGTGCAACTGTGCAGGTGTTTTGAATATTTTAAATATATGTTAAATATGTTAAATATGTTAAATATGTTAAATATGTTAAATATGTTAAAAATGTTAAAAATGTTAAAAATGTTAAAAATGTTAAATATTACAGGAGGAACGTGATAAAGTTGACACTCTACAGACACTTTAGTAATGCCCTTGCTTTTGGTATCCTATCTTGTGTAGCGTTTGAAGTATGGTGGATCCACCTTACTAAAGAGGGCTGTATACAGGTCAGAGAAACGTTCTATACCCCCTATATATATCCTAGCTATTAGTATATCCTATATTATTACCCTAACTATTAGTATATCCAAGAACTGGAGAGAGGTTTGGTTATGATATTTATTCTAAATAATCATATTTCCTAGAACTGGAAGGAGTATTGGTTATCAGATGATATCTTCTGGAATGTTCTCTTCACAATGATATTGATAGTGATCATGTTCCTGTGGAGACCCACCGTCAATAACTCCAGGTTAGGAACTAAATTGTTTAAATACTTAACATTGTAAACTACTTAACATTGTAAACTACTAAACATTGTAAACTACTTAACATTGTAAACTACTTAACATTGTAAACTACTTAACATTGTAAACTACTTAACATTGTAAACTACTTAACATTGTAAACTACTTAACATTGTAAACTACTTAACATTGTAAACTACTTAACATTGTAAACTACTTAACATTGTAAACTACTTAACATTGTAAACTACTTAACATTGTAAACTACTTAACATTGTTAACTACCTAACATTGTAAACTACTTAACATTGTAAACTACTTAACATTGTAAACTACTTAACATTGTAAACTACTTAACATTGTAAACTACTTAACATTGTAAACTACTTAACATTGTAAACTACTTAACATTGTAAACTACTAAACATTGTAAACTACTTAACATTGTAAACTACTTAACATTGTAAACTACTTAACATTGTAAACTACTTAACATTGTAAACTACTTAACATTGTAAATTACTTAACATTGTAAACTACTTAACATTGTAAACTACTTAACATTGTAAACTACTTAACATTGTAAACTACTTAACATTGTAAACTACTTAACATTGTAAACTACTTAACATTGTAAACTACTAAACATTGTAAACTACTAAACATTGTAAACTACTTAACATTGTAAACTACTTAACATTGTAAACTACTAAACATTGTAAACTACTAAACATTGTAAACTACTTAACATTGTAAACTACTAAACATTGTAAACTACTTAACATTGTAAACTACTAAACATTGTAAACTACTTAACATTGTAAACTACTAAACATTGTACAATATATACATTATACATTATACATTATACACGTCCTACAAGTTATCAGCTAATTTGTGGTCCCATCTTAGTCCCTTGTGAGTCTCATCTGTATGTTACACGTGGGTAATACAATATACAAGGACAACTCCTTATATGGGCATCACGTGTCACTACAAGGCCCGTATATATACTTGTATATCGTATTATATAATCATAGTACTATGCTATAGTCCACGTTTTCGTGTTCTTGTACGGTATAATATTGCTGCGTGTTAATAGCACACTATTCCATGTTGCTGTTGTTAACTACTACTGGGTAACGGTACTGTGTGAGGATGCACAAGAATTACGTAAAAATCATTTTTATCTGTGATATTTACTGGTCAAGTAAAGTTTATATTTGAGAGTTTACTTAAACCCATCAACTATTTTCATAAATCAAAACCAGTTCTTTTCAAATCTAAGTAACAAGTAAATAAGTAAAAACTAACAGTAACCTGTTCAGATACGCGTTCTCTCCGTTACTAGATACTGACGAGTCAGAAAGTGAGGAGACTATTAACGAGGCATTCGGTAATTACTTAATTAATTAAATGAGCAATTAGTTTTAATTGTCTTATTGCAATATGTTCGCAAACGCGAGTATTGAAATAATTCATTGTTAATTGTGCCTCTGTAGATCGAAATTTAAAATTTCTATGACAGAATCGTCGAATGAGAAGTAACAGTATACCATCTGCAAAGTTTTAGTTAAAGGCCTCAAATATGAAACATGGCTATTAGTGCTTTTCATTTATAACGAACATATGGCTAGCAAGAACTACTGTCTTGAACACACTAAACCGCTATTCACCGAGCAGAAAATTATGAACCTGGAGAATCTGCACATGTACCATACATTTATGGAATTATTCAAAATTCTTAAATTTGATGTCCCCCAGTCGATTAAAGATCTTTTCAAGTTCTGTCCTAGAAATGAAAAACTTCGTCTGATTGTCCCATTACTGAGGTTAGATATCTCCCAACAGAACTTTTTGTACACCTCTACGAAAATTTGGAATGACCTCAGCCCCTATGTATTCGAAATATGTGATGCTAATGTAGTTGGGTTGATAATCCCGGGTTCTTCCAAGAATTCAGACTTATCAGCTTCGTCAGGTGTTATTAAATCTAACCTTAAAAAGCACTTGCTATCCCTCCAAAATCGAGATGACCCTAATACATGGTAACTAATCTATATTATATCTCAAACTCTACATCCGGTACGGCTATGCACACATGATATCTCTCTCTGCCCTGAAACATGGCTAACCTTTTAAACTGTGATTCAAAACCTAAAGCTAAACTAAAACTCAACTGGGCTCTCCTTTGTCACCAAACTAAACCAATAAGTAATTTAAGATTATTATATTTTTCTATATTTGTATACTGTAATTAGTATATTGACGTAGTGGATGGTTGAGGGGGTTTCAAGCACAGGTCACTCTCAAATCCTAAAGATAAGCAGTGGCCTTCGGCACTTGAAACCTCTTCAAACCTCCCCTGATTTATTTATTATTGATATTGTTTGATTGTGCCGTAAAAATAAATATTTGTTTTATTAAATATTTGTTTTATTCATTCAAACAAGTGAAAACAAATCTTTTATGTCATGTTTCCAGGATTTGGACTGGAATTGCCTATGTTATAAGATCCTGTAACGCATGTGTACTGATTTTTGTACTCCTTAATTGTCAGAGGGCATGAAAATGAGAAACATAAAGAAGAACGGCTCGACGAAGAAAGAAGGAAACATTGACGAAGATCTAAAATGGGTGGAAGAAAATATCCCATCAACTCTTGGAGACACGTACGAATATTTGTTTTTTCTAATTTCCATTTTAGGCTTCACCATATAACTTATACTTTGTGGCGAATTTTCTTTTACAATTACTGATCGATCAGTTATAGAATAATTATCATTAACTTAATACCTGATTATTATTATTTCAGTGTGTTCGAGAAACTTATGGACTCAGATGAAGAGGTTGAACACAGAAAATACGAAATGTCCAAAATGCAGTGAAACATATTACCATACCAACTGGTTACCATACCAACTGGTTATCATACCAACTGGTTACCACACCAACTGGTTACCACAGCCACTGCTTTGGGACTGCTTTAGGACTCATTTTCCCCGATTAAATTTTATTGTATGGAAGCAGTTTAATTTATTTTCGTAGATTTCACTCACAATTTAAAGTCTGTAAAACCCACACTGGAGTATTTGTGATTGTCATTTTGATAAATGTAGACGTTTTCAACAGTGTGCACTTCGCTGAGTTTTATTTTGAAATCAAGGATTTTATAAAGATTACAGCTTGGTGTGAGAATAATTCGAAAAACGCTGGTCAAAAATGTTAACATAAATATTTATAAATTTTCACCACAAAGTTTTGATTATGTACAGCTGGACTTGATGATCACATAAACATTTGGACTACATTTATAAATAACCAACTTATCTCTTTTATTTAATGATATTGAACAGATATTAGCTGTCTGAGTTAACAACAACAGGCTACACGTGTTTATTTTACTGTAGAGTTATTCATATCATTTCATGCATGTTTTAGTTGTTTTGGAATTGGTAAAATTCGACCGAGAAAAATCGTCAGATTAAACAAGTTTTCATTTCTCACGGGGCAGAATTAATATCATGACTAAAGTTAGATTTCCTCTTAATTAAACATACAAATGTACTTCCCGCGAGTTACTCCCGTTTTGGTCAAATGTTAATTAATTAATTGATTAATTAATTAATGTTTATGTCTTGCATGTCAATGAATTTGCTTTCGGGGATACATTATTATTTGTTTTGCGCTCAATCGTTGCTAAAATTTGCTAACATTGTGTTACATTTGTTTATGTCAATGTTTCCTTGATGAATGAATAAGTATCTTCACTTCTCTGACTGATAATAAGATACGTTAATAAACCAAACCTCGATTGCATGATGAAAAAAGTGACACGCCCTATTTAAGGGTGTAATACCCATAAATGATAATGCTTGTAAAAATTTCTGATTTGTCAACGAAATTCTATAGGTCGAACATAAGTGTATAAATAGATTCGTGTACAATTATGACATCACGAGAAGCTCAAATGATGATCTCAACTGATAGCTAATGGTAAAATATGTACCAAGAAGACTTTATGGTCCCATTTTCTGTGAAACATTTTATTTGTTTTGTAGAATGGCCTATTCTTGTGGTCATACTTGGCTCAGAAAACGCTGTCTTCTTTCGTTCCTGATTGTCTCACAAAATTTACAGTATTAATTAGAACACCATATCTACCAGATATATATTTGATCATTACAGCATGAGGTCGTAGAAGTGGTATCTTAGACGGATCTTTAGCGAACTTAACTGCCTGATATTGGCAAGAAACTTCACGTGTTTGAGGTGGTACAAAAAATGGTGATCGGAGTTGGACTTTCTGTACCAAACTGTACCATGGTACAATATTTGACGAAAGTCGATTATCTCGAGATCTATAAGACGGATAATCTGAGCGAGTTTGGGCGAATTTCTATGTGCCAAACTTGAGATATGACTTCAAACACAAGTAAATATTTCAAATTGGCGGTTTCTAGCGGTACGCAGGCATATATTTCGAGATCTGAATGATAGAATTTTTTAAAACTTTCCTGATAGTTACATGGCTATAAGACGGATAATCTGAGCAAGTTTGGGCGAATTTCTATGTGCCAAACTAAATATATATCTGTGTTCCGCTAGAAACCGCCAATTTGGAGATATTTTCTTGTGTTTGAAGTCATATCTCCATTTTGGCATATAGAAATTCTCCCAAACTCTTACTCATTATCTGTCATATAGCCATCTAACTATCTGGAAAGTTTAAAGAAAATCTATCAATCAGATCTTGAGAAAATCGAAAATGTATTCTAAGTTATTCACTAAAACATTCGATTTTCGACCATTCCATATGGTACAGTTTTGTCGAAAGTCCTTCTGGGTGATCGGAAGTTATCAACTAAACTGTAAGGCGCGACGACATTTTATTGATCTAAGTACATTAGCCTATGGTTAACTCTGCCAGCTAGTCGCGCGTGCGCGCCACACCATAAGTAGAATGTTTTGAGTTTTTGGAGCCTTAGGACGTCCGCCAAAATCGCACATTTTCAGACCACCCTCCCCTTGTCTGGGAGTGTCCGAATTTTCAAAACCTCTCCCAGGTTCCCAGCTACTTTAAAGACTTGCTCTAACCAGAGCCCTCTCGCTTGCAGTTGGCAGTAGCGCGCAACTTGTCATACGTTGTATGACCCGCCGCGCACGAAGTGCGCGGCTCCCCCTGTATCGTCAGGACGATAAAGTGAAACGACCGTAGGAGTCGCAACGTGATACAACGCGCAACCGTGTCAGTAAAGTAAAGTAAAGTAAAAATTATGGCATAACATCATCACACATGTCTACAATTAAAGTATCAAAACACTACATGGAAAAATATAAATATCTTACCACCAAAATTAAAAAAATATTATATATATATATATATATAACTCTAAAACTCTGGTCACAAGAGCAACTGCCTAAACGTGCAGAAGTGAAAACAAATAAATAAAATACTAGCAATCCTTTAAATTCGCAATAAATAAGTTCGTTCAATGTCATTATATAATTCTAAAACCACATATATGTGACCAGTAAATAATTTAATTGGTCTATAGACTACTGTATGAAATTCTCAATATAAACTTTTAAACAATAATAAATTAATTAAAAAACACACAACAACCTTTGGTGTGTAAGAATGATTAAACAGCCTCATTTTGACACAAAATATCTTCATAATATTATAGTATATGCTATAATATTAGAACTGTTAAGTTGAGTTCAGGTAACAGAATTTAACTGTAATAGAACCTCTGCTGTGTTATCCACTGTTGAGATGTAGCCATATCTTCGTCCGGTCTAACATTGACCCCGGCTCATGAAATATATGCTTCGTCCGGTCTAACATTGAACCCGGCTCACTAATCATAGGGATGGTGTAGTTATGGTAGTTGGAATATAATCAACTGTTTAAAGTTTTATCTCTATTCGAAGGAATTCTTCTGCATCCTTTGTTATTTCCAGTGCTAGATCAAAGAACTCACGAAGTCTGCTCCATGATATCAACATTGAGTTCCCACCATAGCCTTGGTTTTTGATGTTGTGGAAAGGGTGTCTTTCAAGAAGCTCACTCATTTTGTTCCTTTTATCTGCTTGTACATCAGGACAGTCGGTAAGCAGGTGAAGTGAATTTTGAGCCCCTCGCCTACAATCACACAGTGGAGAATCAAATTTACTGCTTTTGAAGCGATGAAGAAATTCATTCATTATGTTGTTCGGATAGAACAAGCTTAGAAACAAGGTTTCAAGTTGCCTTGATGTTTTGGGCGGAAACTTGAGCTTTGTGGCGCTCACTGTAGGTGCCTCTGTATACCCTTCCAGCTGGTATTGGCTGTTTATGGACGATTGCCAAAGCTGTTCACTGTAATGTTTCATCACTGATTTACTGTAGCTGCATCCTTTTATTGATAGACTGGTGAGTTTTTCTAGATCATGGTTATTTATGATTTTTAGATCCTCATTAGTGAAGTGTTCAGGAAGTATCGAAGATTTCCACAATAGAAACTGAAATACATCTTTTACTTTTCCAGTTAGTGCGCTGTAACTGCCTGATTTCATTTGGTCATCAATAAGGTGTTTCAGTGGATCCTCTTTATTCGGGAATATATTCAGTTTAAGGATGTGCTTCACTGAGTTCACTTTGTTTGATATGTTGAGTGGCAACACACCAAGTATCATTTCAGCTGTAGTTAGTCTTACATTGAACACTGCACCCAAAGCTGCTTTTATAGTCCTATACCAAGCGCTTTCAATTTCTTTGATACTTCTATTATTGATCCAGACAGTTCCAGCATAGTGGATCCGTGAATATATGAGAACTTCAATTAGCCTTACAATGACATGTTGTCTGAATCCCCAGTTGCGGTTTGTATACTTGCATATTGTAGCCCACCGACCAAGTATCTTTCTGTTAATATCCTTTGCGTGCTCGATGTAGGTGAGCTTTCTATCCATTATCAAGCCTAGTACTTTGGTCTTTTCGACGAATTTGATCTCGTTGCTACCAAGACGAAATGACAACGGAAGAAGCGTTTCATCGTTTTCTGCAGTTCCGAATCCAATTAGTTCAGTTTTTCCGGGATCGCAGTTTATTATCATTCTCCATGTTATACTCCATTTATAGATAGCATAACATGTCATCTGTAGATTGAGAAGACACTGGTGTGTTGTTTCACCTCTGACCCTTAATGTTCCATCATCCGCAAACTTGAAAACCCCTATATCTGGGTTGAGGGTGAGATCCTGTGCAAGGTCATGCAAAAAGAATTTGAATAGAATTGGAGACAATGCTGAACCTTGTGGTAGTCCAAATTCTCTACATGCTGTAATGAAGCCAGTATAGTTGTTGAATACAAGACGAACTTTTCTGTTGAAGAGAAAGCTGTTTATAAGTCTCCACATACTTCCGGATACTCCAAAGTCGGACAACTTTTTCATGAGACCTTTTTTCCAAACACTATCAAAAGCTTTTTCAAAATCTATAAAGAGACAGATGACCGTGTATTTCTTCTGAAGATGACTACGAACATCATTATCCAGTCTGTTTAGATAACGAACAGTGTTGCGCTTTTTTGTGAACCCTTCTTGATACTCATCGCTTAGGCCCTTCTTTCTAAGGTGCTCTTCTAATCTATTAGCAATTATTTGTTCAAATACCTTACCAATATAGGATGTTATAGAGATCGGTTTTAATTAACTACAACTTTATTAAAAAATTTCAAATAAATTCAAAAAGCGCGGCTCCCCCTGTATCGTAGAAACTCTACACCAAAGTGAAACGACCACGGGGGTCACGACGTGATACAAAAATTCAATATGAAAATTCAATAAAAATCTTAGTAAGTTAAGTCAAATTTTATTCTTTTCGTGATATATGATAAATGTCATTGCCTCACTGTATCTTTGACCTAAATGGAATCTCCAACGGGTCAGCGTTATTCAGACTCAGTTACATATCTTAGAAAGCGCTTGCGCTTTGAGGTATTAAAGACAACAGTTATTTCGATAAGGGGGGACAGAGGGCCCAAGTTGCGACATAAACCAGACAATATTGAAGATTTAGATTTAAATATTGAGCCCTTTGGCTAGAGAATACTTTTTTTTGATATTTTGGACAGTTTTTAATATTGGTAATGTTAATGAATTGTAATTTATTGATATGTAATATTTAGGCCCGTGGCCAGTTACTTTTCTGCTGTCTTTGACCTTACTGGGCTGCGCTCAGCCAGTCATTCCGCCAAATCTTTATATGTTTATGAAAATAATAGCCTGTGGTCCCCATGTAATCTTTGACCTAATTTTCTAGACATTCTATCAGCTAACTTTTGCTTCTCTTCCCATTCCACCTGTTGTTGATACTGTAATAACTTCGCTATTAAAGTACACATTTAACTTTATACCCCCAAACGAGTCGGAGTATCCATGGATACTCCGACTCGTTTGGGGGTCACGACGTGATACAAATAGTGCAAGTGTTGAGTTAAGTCTCATTAACGTTTTCCTAGCCTTCATTGTTCATAAGGGGTCGTTCACATATTACGTAATCAATATTTTGGCAATTTTTACCCCCCCCCCTCTGCAATCAACCGGGGGGGGGGGGGGGGGGTTCAAGACCGAACCCCCTATATTACGTAATCAAGGTTTGACCCCCCCCCGTAATCAAGACCAAACCCCCCTCCTATATTAAGTAATCAAGATTAGACACACCCCCCCCCCCCCCCCCATCGCAAAGCACTTACTAAACGAAAATTGGTTTAAAAAACGAAAATTTTGATTACGTAATCAACGACCAAAACCCCCCCCCCCCCCCCGTAATCAACCGTAAGCATTTGAAACCCCCCGGCCCCCCTCGGCTGATTACGTAATATAATATAATAATATAATATGTGAATGACCCCTAAATCATGATGCATGATGTGCAGATGCATTGCCTATATAGTCATTGTAGATATTCCCAGGAAACCTTACTGTTAGGGGCCTAACTTCGGAAGTAAAAGAGATAGAAACGTCCGGTTTTCAACAAAATGTCCGTCTCGTAAAACTAAAGTAGCCAAATTCAAAACAATGTAGATTTTGAATTATCGCGAAAAGTTTGATTTTGGGCTAAATAAAAGATCGCAGCTTTTAAACTTTGCGAAGTAATGTCGTTGTCATGACTCCAGATTGTAATTCACGCGAGCGAGCGAGCGATCATGCAGTGAACGTTACGTCACGCGCGCTGACACACGTGCCATCGAAAAACAACCACCTCTAGTACCACGGCCAGCCGGTAAGCTTTTCTGGGTATAAATTTTGTTCTGTGAATGAGGCCTTTGGTCTACAAGCTCAATTGGTTAAATCTCGGCTCACCTTCCCCAGATTATATATTGAGTTTTCACACTTTTTTAATTCCAGGAGCAATGTCAAAATCTTCAGTAACTAGGGTTGCTCTTGGACCCATGGAAATGGGAAAACGGATGAACTTTGAAGATAGTGAAGCCTTTCTCAAAAAGTTTCAGGAGTTTGGGCATACTGAATTAGACACAGCCTACATGTATGCTGGCGGAGCAGATGGAGGTGCAAATGGGGGACTCACTGAGGAGTTTATGGGTAAAATTGATACTGTAAATGGTTTAAATGTTGCTACAAAAGTAAATCCAGCTGGTGGCAAAATGTTTCCTCCGAAAAGTGTCAGGCATCAACTTGAGACATCTATGAAAAAGTTAAATACTGAGTGTGTTGATTTGTTCTATTTACATTGGCCCTGCATGGATGTTAATCATTAATATCGAGGATACTCTTTGCGAAGTCAACAATCTCCACAAGGAAGGGAAATTCCAGAGATTTGGTCTGTCTAATTTCATATCATGGCAAGTGGCTGAAGTTCAGCAAATCTGCATACACAATGGGTACATTCAACCAACTGTATATCAAGGAATGTACAACTGTCTCACAAGGTTGGTAGAAAAAGAACTTTTCCCGTGTCTTCAAAAGTATGGAATGAGCTTCTACTCTGGCTGGTGGTATACTTACAGGTAAACACATTAGAGATGAAAATCCAGAGAAGGTGAGTGAACCAGGAAGATTTGCAGGAAAGGCATGGGGAAAAGCTTACAAAAATAGATTCTGGAGGGATAAGTATTTTGATGCTCTTGATATCATACAAGATGCCTGTAAAAAGGAAGGAGTTGCTGTAACATTGCATCTGCAGCGTTGAGGTGGGTCACACACCACTCTGCTTTAACAGGAGACAATAATGATGCTATTATTGTGGGTGCAAGTAATATCTCTCATTTGGTTTCTAATCTTGATTTTTTTGAAAGAGGGACCACTTCCAGTTTCGGTTGTTGATGCTATTGAGCAGGGGCATGAGCTTACAAAAGGCCATGGTCCCAACTATTTTAGAAACGTAAACATGCCACATGCTGTATGAAGTGCTAAGTATGCAAGTTTAAGATGTATACTATGTCAAGAAATGTGAAATCATATTAATTTTTTTTTATGATTCGATTGGTTTGTTCAAAAGTTTTAATCTGTTTTAAAGATGGTATGCTATTGTTTTATATGCTATTTTTTAGCTGAAAATTGTAATTTATAAATTGTAAATGAATAAATTGTAAAAATATTATTTTTTCCTAATCTTTGATGTTTTATTGCCGGGTAAGGTATTACCGTATATTATTTTTTCCTTAGAACAATAATTTGCAAGTTATTGTTAGGAAAATAGATTTATTGTTTTGAGTTTCACCACTATTAAAATTGCACAACTCACTGATCATACAAATTTTATTGAAATGTCGTCAACCTGTTTGTCATTGGTATGGCAGCTAGCAGCTCTTTCTATAAATAAACGATGGTTCCCCTACTGTCAATCACATCAGACTGATGTTTCTGATTAGATTTCAGCACATCATTGTATCAGCGCAATGAAAATAGTTACGCCAAGGCATCCAAGACAACTTGAGTTTGTGCAGCTTAGCTGTCCTGAGGTGTAGCACGTGTGTTGTTTTGAGAACACACCTGTTCAATAGTTTTTGTGTCTTGATGCTGACTTTTATTAACAAGAGATACTTTAATTTTTTCCCACATTAACAGGAACTTAAGTTTTATAGAACAGTCCCACTCAGAATTGATTTCGCCTGGGATTTGTTTCTAGCTTGGTGACCATAAGGTGCAACCTGATAGAAACAAGAAACCATGCAATTGTTCCTCCCATAGTATATACCAGTCATCACTGGCAGCGCCATTAGTGCTACCTTTTAAACCGATCGGTTGGCTAACAGATAGCACTTTAAGTAGAAAGTACAGATTCGTTTCTTGCAAACTGAATTTACTTCATTTAGTGCCAGACTTAAATAATCAAGTTTATGTAAAATTGTTAGATTCTCGGATTTGACGGTCTATCCTCTCTTACCGTTACTATTTGGATGCTTTTTGTATGAAATTAAATGCTCTGACCTCAGCTGTCATAGTGACTATGTTTGACAGTACATTTTGCTCTTAGGAGGATAGTTGTTGTCATGGTTACCAAGTCAGACCATGGTTAGATCTACAATATCAAGCACTTCATCAAGAAATGTCATTGGTAAGTAGGATAGGGGTGGGGTGATTGGTAAGTATAGATTACCAGCTTATAATCCTTATTGTTAATGACAAACAATTTAGCGATTAATATTTTAAACTTTCTCCGTTGTTCGTGACAATATGTGATTAACTAATTCCCCGCCAGATCAGAAAAACGTGGTATTTTTCACGATAAAAACAGACAATGTGCGAGTGTCTGCCGATGCCGTGTGCCGAATAACGGGAACAAAGAATGGATCATGCAAGATTGTAGCAGCAACCTTGTCGGGGAGCGGAGTAAGTACATCACGTGACCTGCAGTGAGTTTTACTGATCACGAGACCTGCAGTGAGTTTTACTGATCACGTGACCTGTAGTGAGTTTTACTGATCACGTGACCTGCAGTGAGTTTTACTGATCACGTGACCTGCAGTGAGTTTTACTGATCACGTGACCTGTAGTGAGTTTTACTGATCACGTGACCTCATGACCTGGTCAGCAACTTTAATAACGAGCGGAGAGAGACAGTATAAACAATGTTACTGAGAATATTCTTGCTTGCTAATGTAACATACTGGATAATGTTCGTGTGCTTGAACAAGCTAAATAATGATTGTGCTTGATCAAATGTCTATTGTTCCACTAAGATATTACACTTTACCAAGTTTTAATTTAAGGTGTCGTCTAAATCCACGTACTTTGGTAAACTTTCTATAATCACACACGCTCTTCAACCTATACAATCTTATTTTCATTGACAATATGCGCAAAATAATCACAATCTGGCTAGCACAATGCGCCCAATGTCACATTGTACTGTTATATCTAATATTGAAATATACAGTACGAGGAGATGCGTTCTGTGTTGAATAGAAAGCTAAGAACACTTTGTGTAAACAAGGTTACATTGCAACTCATCACATTACAGGCTAGTTAAGAAGTGTCTATTACATTGCAACTCATCACATTACAGGCTAGTTAAGAAGTGTCTATTACATCTACAAGTGTCTATTACATCTACAAATTACACAAAAAACCCGATTAGTTCTGGTCTGAAACTACTGATCTGCTATTAAGGATTGCTTGGTATGTGACCTAGTTGCCAAATTCCGAGTTGGAAACTTATCGCTGACAGACGTACCCACAGAATATTGTGTACTATATAGGTTGTCATATTCATTACTTATAATTACTGATTTTATTTATTAAAGAAAAGAAATGTGTCTGTTTTGTAATATGTGTGAGTAAGTGAGCTGAAATACATATTGAGTGTTCACTGCTCCACACACCTAATGAGTACTTGATGTGGCAAAGCAATCTTATTTGCCTTATATGGGTTAACTGAACCACAAAGGTAATAAGTACCTACGCCATTAAAAGGAGAGAGCATTCTCCAACTTACACCAAATATGTTCCCAATAGCAACCTGCCTTGGCAACCAGTCATTTTCGATATTCGAATACGATTATTATATTATTATTATGTCATTCCATAAAAAACACAATCCTGTAATTATAAATTTTATACTACTCTATGATAAGTGCTAATTGTTTTTTAATAACTGCCTTCACAATTTCGTGTTGGACACCCCTACTTGAGTTGGGAATGTTACGCCCCCTCCCCCCACCCCTCCCCATATATATCACACATGTAAAGCTCCCCCAGTTGTGAGCCTGCAATACACACATATTATGCTGCACAGTATACAGTTTGTACATCAGACATTAGCACTCTGTCACCAATCATATTATGAGAGCATGCACACTACTTCATTAGTGTAACATTAGGGCATGACACTGTAACATGTCATTCCTTATCAATCTGGCAACGCTAAATTTGTGAATATTTCAGAGGTTCACCTGTCCTCAAAAGCCTGTAAAATCTCAATTTATATTTGATAAAACTTAGGATTGAAGCCACGTGATGCCCATATAAGGATCTTAATGTTCCACATTCAGAACTACCTGAGGTGATGACACATTTCAAATTTCAGATTAAACAAAGCTCTCTTGTGACCTGTAACGTGACGTCACTCGTGTTTTAATTTTAAATCTCATTATCTTACCGCGTATGTCTGAAGATATCCCCTCTTTAAGATACACATCCTGCTGCCAGCAGTGTAAACACTGCCCGGCTACTAGATTACCTGGACCCTGGACCAGGGCCCCTGGTGTGTACTTTAGTTGACTCTGTGTGTAGGTTATATAAACACTCTGACCACCACTGTACACCACTGCTCATTCTCTCACCTCTCCTTACTTCACAGTTAACACAGCCTCCTCACTCCTCACTTCACATGTCAGCTAGCTCTAGTGTTCTTACCTACTAGTACAAATATTTAGCTGAGTGAGCTCCTACTGAGATCTAGTCTTGTTGTACAGGAAGTTTATAAAACTGCTACTTGAGCAGCAGTAGTAACTGAGTATGCAGGGTTATACTGAGTAGGTAGTTACTAGTTGCTAACACTACAACTCAGAACAGTTCCCAAGTGTTAACTCGGTCTATTGATTATAAGTATCCAGCGTTAATACACACTACACAGCCTACACAGGTTAGTAGTAGGAAGTTATTTAGTGTTTCTACACCAGCACACCTACACTGCTCCCAATAACTTAATTTACAGTAGATAATATAAATTCAGCTGTGTCATTCCATTTACTTGTCAGATCAGGTTAATATTATATCTTACTTTCCAATGTAGGGCTGTTAAGGGGCTCGTTAAGTCCACATTAGATTAGAGCTGCGAGCATGTTCTGCACTATTTCTCTCTCTCTCTCTCTCTCTCTCTCTCTCTCTCTCTCTCTCTCTCTCTCTCTCTCTCTCTCTCTCTCTCTCTCTCTCTCTCTCTCTCTCTCTCTCTCTCTCTCTCTCTCTCTCTCTCTCTCTCTCTCTCTCTCTTTCTCTCTCCCTGCGAGCATGTTATGTGCACTATCTTGCTGTTACGACCCGGTCCTAATCAGGAAGAAACTAGAGTCTTTTGTATAATTGAGTGGTTCTGAACATAAAAATCTAAACTCTTTCACATTTGTCTAGAAAACAAAATGTTCTTGGAATTTAGCTTTCTGATAGACTACTTACATGTGGTATGTGGTATAGAGTATAGAGTATAGAGTATAGAGTATAGAGTATAGAGTATAGAGTATAGAGTACTAGAAACCCGCTAGTCGAAAGCTTTGTTCGAGGAAATTTTAATAATCAGTTATGTTTTAATTTCTCTTCATCATACAGCTCTGTTATACAGTAGACATAATGGAATTTATTTAACAATGGCGACAGCGTTGTTAGTATTCGGATTCCCAAAACGATACTTTTTACCGCATCAAAAAATACCAATCACAACCAAAGTTATGAATATAAGTCATAGCGTGAGCGTAAATGTGAGCTAGTTTTGAAATTATGACGTAGCATACAGCATAACAACGCGCGTAGTTAAGATGTTTTTGCTCGCGCACGTGCATTTTAACGTTGCTACGCAACAGCGCAGTAAACCTTTGCTAAAATAACGACATTATTCTAACGGTTATTTTACCTCACTTCCGACGTTAATTATAAAAAATCTAAAGCCTAAATCAAAATTCTAAGAATGCTATAGCCTATTCCTATCCTTTTTCTACAACCCTGCTAAAAATGGCGAGGTTTCAACTCCATTTGCGAGCTGGGTTTGATTTCACCAGAGGGTCATTTTGAGGTCGATTTTCGGTGTTTTTTCTTCTATGTCCCCGTTGCCGGGGAAATTTCGTCAAGTTTAAATATAATATAGATAGAGTATAGAGTATAGAGTATAGAGTATAGAGTATAGAGTATAGAGTATAGAGTATAGAGTATAGAGTATAGAGTATAGAGTATAGAGTATAGAGTATAGAGTATAGAGTATAGAGTATAGAGTATAGAGTATAGAGTATAGAGTATAGAGTATAGAGTATAGAGTATAGAGTATAGAGTATAGAGTATAGAGTATAGAGTATAGAGTATAGAGTATAGAGTATAGAGTATAGAGTATAGAGTATAGAGTATAGAGTATAGAGTATAGAGTATAGAGTATAGAGTATAGAGTATAGAGTATAGAGTATAGAGTATAGAGTATAGAGTATAGAGTATAGAGTATAGAGTATAGAGTATAGAGTATAGAGTATAGAGTATAGAGTATAGAGTATAGAGTATAGAGTATAGAGTATAGAGTATAGAGTATAGAGTATAGAGTATAGAGTATAGAGTATAGAGTATAGAGTATAGAGTATAGAGTATAGAGTATAGAGTATAGAGTATAGAGTATAGAGTATAGAGTATAGAGTATAGAGTATAGAGTATAGAGTATAGAGTATAGAGTATAGAGTATAGAGTATAGAGTATAGAGTATAGAGTATAGAGTATAGAGTATAGAGTATAGAGTATAGAGTATAGAGTATAGAGTATAGAGTATAGAGTATAGAGTATAGAGTATAGAGTATAGAGTATAGAGTATAGAGTATAGAGTATAGAGTATAGAGTATAGAGTATAGAGTATAGAGTATAGAGTATAGAGTATAGAGTATAGAGTATAGAGTATAGAGTATAGAGTATAGAGTATAGAGTATAGAGTATAGAGTATAGAGTATAGAGTATAGAGTATAGAGTATAGAGTATAGAGTATAGAGTATAGAGTATAGAGTATAGAGTATAGAGTATAGAGTATAGAGTATAGAGTATAGAGTATAGAGTATAGAGTATAGAGTATAGAGTATAGAGTATAGAGTATAGAGTATAGAGTATAGAGTATAGAGTATAGAGTATAGAGTATAGAGTATAGAGTATAGAGTATAGAGTATAGAGTATAGAGTATAGAGTATAGAGTATAGAGTATAGAGTATAGAGTATAGAGTATAGAGTATAGAGTATAGAGTATAGAGTATAGAGTATAGAGTATAGAGTATAGAGTATAGAGTATAGAGTATAGAGTATAGAGTATAGAGTATAGAGTATAGAGTATAGAGTATAGAGTATAGAGTATAGAGTATAGAGTATAGAGTATAGAGTATAGAGTATAGAGTATAGAGTATAGAGTATAGAGTATAGAGTATAGAGTATAGAGTATAGAGTATAGAGTATAGAGTATAGAGTATAGAGTATAGAGTATAGAGTATAGAGTATAGAGTATAGAGTATAGAGTATAGAGTATAGAGTATAGAGTATAGAGTATAGAGTATAGAGTATAGAGTATAGAGTATAGAGTATAGAGTATAGAGTATAGAGTATAGAGTATAGAGTATAGAGTATAGAGTATAGAGTATAGAGTATAGAGTATAGAGTATAGAGTATAGAGTATAGAGTATAGAGTATAGAGTATAGAGTATAGAGTATAGAGTATAGAGTATAGAGTATAGAGTATAGAGTATAGAGTATAGAGTATAGAGTGTTAACATGAAATTTAATATCCTTCTCATCGTCCCAATAACACACCTTCCCGGCTATTAAAAACGGTGATTTTTAAACGTTATCATTAATCAGGTCCCCTCGCTAATTGTAGAGAAGACAAGTTTCTGCGATGAAGCTGGTTGTACTTAACCAGAATCTAGATTATCAAGGTTTATCAGTACCTGATCTTGTTGATAAGGCTCCCAATTAATAACCAGTAGTGTGTCCCTGTTTGCAGGTTGTACAGTATATTATGTGGGTAGCAGATAACATATGTATTGTGTGCTCACTTAAAAACCAATTACTCTGACACCCGGTGTTGTAGAAATCTCCGCAGAGGAACAGTATGAGTTACTGATAATTTGATTTCGTGACGTCATACCACGTGACACGTGACGTCATACCACGTGGGTGATCGATAATTTGATGTGAAATAGGGAGCTGTCGACATTGCTAGAAAATAAAATCAGACTGTTAATGTGCAGTGATAATGTGGCGGCTATATTCATGGTTGGATGTTTTCGTCAGAATTTTATCTGTACTTCTAAGTGAGAATATGTTATGACGAAAACAGGAAGACTTAGATTTATTAATTAATTATCTAATTACTTATAAGATAAGTTAAAGTGGAATAAAGTTGGTTACTGTTTGAGAGTGGTGCGCGAAAATAAAATACAGATTTTCTAGCATTATTACCAATCTAATCAGCATCAAAAGAGTGTTATGTCAAAAAACGTATCTTGCTTGATCGACAGTTGTAAGGTTTTTGTCGTCTCTTAACTTAACCAATGTAAGTTAGTTAATTACTTACATAATCAATTTAATCTAATAACTTACTTAAGCATATATACACGTGTTATGACGTCACACCACGTGTTATAACGTCACACCTCGTGTTCTGACGTCACTATTACACAGGAGTACCTAGTATCACTAACAACATCTGGAGCACTCCTTGACAAGATCAGAAAACTGGTGATATCAGAATCTCACGTGCTCAGTAACCTTAACGTTACTTCTGTACAGATACAAGAAAATGATCCTGTTGCACTACAAAAACTGATTAAAGGTTTGATTTTTAATTTGGTTCATTACTTATCACTTACTTTGTGGGAAAGAATAGAACTATCCCTTGATTAGAAGCTTTGTTCAATGATAATTTAATGATTGTACAACGACCCTTCTTTTTAAAAGCCAAGAGTAAGGGGTCTATTGTTATATGGTTATATGTTACATGGTAGGAATATCTGAACTTAATAATGTTTAATTACGTCTTTAATTATGTCGTGTAACACTAAATTATCCTCAGATAACACTCCTAAAAGGAGTTTCTGGAAGGTAAGTTATAATTAATATTTAGTTATATTTATTATTCAGTCATATTTATTATTTTTTTATATTTATTATTTAGTTATATTTAAAACACCACGGTTACTTTATATATCTTAATTTGATTACTGATTGTCGTTCTCGTTATTTAAATGGTTAGATAGTTTGAATTTGGTTGCTAAGTAACAATAGAATGATGCTACATATATTTTCCTTCGGTCACAAGGTGTTTATTATTTTACTAATGTTACATATGTAACACCTCATTTACACGTACCTTCGTTCTTAAAAACGTGTACAATACGAGTCTAGGATTTACCTCCTCTACCAATGATATACCCACAGACACATTAACAAGAACTGATTCTGTTACTATAAATAGATTTTTCAGTAACTAGTAACCACATTATAAGCCTACGTGCGAGTTGTAGTAATGAAATAACCGTGAAATGATTGCAGGAGAGAGCAACCTCAGCTCACATTGTGCTGTGTGATTTAAGGGGACTAGATTTAGATATTACAACCAGTGGGAATATGGGATATTTATTAGGAATACACGTGGTGTGACGTCATAACACGTGTTATGACGTCACAATTACAGATTTAGATATAACATGATACAACCAGTGGAAATATGGGATATTTATTAGGAATACACGTGGTGTGACGTCATAACACGTGTTATGACGTCACACCACGTGTTATGACGTCACAATTACAGATTTAGATATAACATGATGCAACCAGTGGAAATACGGGTTATTTAATAGGAATGTACTTGAACCAATACGAAACTATTTAGTGTGTGCATTAGTTTTATATGTGTTAAAGTATCCAATAGGTTAGATACGGTCAGTATCTGCCTATTTAGAAACACAGTATGTTTTTCCACACTGCAAACTTCACCAGAATTTTAATGTTTGGCAACAGGATACAAACAAGTGTTGATAGTATATATTGCCGAATTTGTTTATATTACCAAATACTCCAAAGGGTGATTATAAATTCCAATTAACATATGCAAATTTGCCGCCCTGGACGCCATATTACAAGGTCACTACATTTTACTTAACACTTTTAATACACCTACCAGCCTTCCATCTTGTAACTGATTTAGAGAATACCATCAGAGTGGTGCCCTAGCCAGTATCCAGATAGTCCCGACACATGGACATTGGACAGTTGTCCACAAACATCTTATGACATCATATGACCACATAACAGTACACAGACACTGGATTAAGCAGGGTTCACATCAGCACAAGCACGGTTGATTCACATCATCGCACGCGAATTTCAATCAACTAATTACCAACATTGAATGGTATATATTGTTTCTATTTGTTCCGTGAAACAATATTTTAAATGCGGTAAATTTTCTCAAAACTGGAATAAATGATTTCTATCTAACTTTGCAGATAGTAAGATGATTTCTATTTGCCAAATTTTTGAAACACAAAAAATATCTCTAAATCAAATAATTGTAAGTGATATCTCAAATTTTACACATTAGTAACTTGCACATATTGTCAGTTTTATACTAATCTTACTATCTGAGAAGTTTGTAGAAAATCGTATGGTATGATCTGTACATAATTGCATGCGTTCCGTAGAATTCGCAGATCTGGAGATATTTTGCTTGCGTTTGAAGTGATATCTCAAATTTGGCCAATATAAATTTACCCAAACTTGCAGATATTGCTAATATTATACTTATTTTATTATCTGGAAATTCTGAACGAAATCTTATGGCAGGATGGGGGGGTACCAATGGCATAAATGGCATAATGGAGAATTGGCCAATAAAAATTTCCATTTATGCCATAAAACGTATGCCATTTATGCCATTTTTGATATAATACATTTCTAGTTTATTTATTTGTCATATGAATCTTTAATGATCATTCCAAGCGTTATAAAGCATGAAACATGTCTCTTATTCAAGTACTAATAATAATTTGCGAATTTAAAGTCAAATATGAAGACCTAAATTCATGGCATAAATGGAGAATTGGCCAATAAAAATTTCCATTTATGCCATAAAACGTATGCCATTTATGCCATTTTATGCCATTGGTACCCCCCCGGCAGGATCTGGGAGAAATTGTTCTGAGTAGTTGTTTAAAACTTCTAATAAAAAATATTCAATGTAGCGCGCGAAGACATTTTACTGATAAAAACAATATTGCTCTTGTTTACTGTAATGGAAATTGTGGCGGCGCGCGCACGTAATGCGCAAATACAACGATAAATGATTAGCATAAAGGTTAAATTAAACATTAAATTGATTTATAATTGCATATTTTATACAAGAGAAACGCTTATTTCGGACGTGAGGAGAGTTAGGACTCCTCCAATTATGACAATGGCCAATAACTGTTCAACTGATTCTGCATATACTTCATACTCACGACTTTCTTTCAATTATACTTCTTAGATTAATTTAGTTTCTATGACTATATAATATAATACTACATAATGATGCATATCAGTTTACTCACAGAACTCGATTACATATATTAATTAAGAGTCCCAAATTTGCGATAAAACTGCAAACGAAACTTATCATCACACATTTATCAGTTTCCATGTTTTGATGTACTAACTCAATCGCTATAGGGTTATAGCAGCTATAGGTTCACTCATCAAATTAATTATCAAATAAACTGATAATGAATTTGTTTGTTCTATGTCCAATTTCATATCACATATACTCTGGAAACTCAGAAACTAGAAAAGTTTTATTTTTCAAACATTGAACCACTGTTATGTATAGTAATGAGTAATGGTGATCCGATAATGTCGTGCAGTTGGGATGGCATTGATATCAATTGTATGTTTGGCACATTTGATTTAAAAGTATTTTTAGATTTAATAACAAATAAGTTGATGTACTGGTTTTTGGTAAGTGTACTTGTCAGAAATATTCATGACTGACGCCGCGCAGTGCGTGTACAATAAACTGATTTGGATAGAGAAAATAACTTTGCAAACAAATAATCTGCCAACGCGCGCTCAGCATTGGCGGCAAGAAATGATCTAACGCGCTATTCTTCGAGGACCATTCTGACCATCACAACCAAATTGAAACCACTCACAGCTTGACATATTGTTGAAAGGTCGTCGTCATGTTGAGGTTCGACGAACTTCCGACCCTGATCTCCTTGCATGCTATACCGTTATGAATGGCGATTGTTTTCACCATGCCTGATCAAATTCCCCATGAAGTAATGGGCTAATGACGAGCCTTTGTTCCCTGCCAACATTCCATTAACTAGTGCTGTCTGCGACCGTAATTCGATTATTTCATTACCCACTGATCGCCGTGCTCAATTCATTGTAATCCAAATTCCTGAGGGTTCTGGATGGTTCGTGATTATGTTGGGAGAGTAACGGCAAAATACCGTGGTCCGTAACTGTGTCGGTGCTTTAAAAGTAGGTCAACAATTTGCCATCATCAGTAAGGATTATTTCTGTAAAGTTTGCTCAGTTGGGCTATAAAATGGCCAACATCAGAACCATTCCGGATTGAGGTAGATCTGGAGCCAGCTTATTCATAATCGTTCCGAAATTTATCGTGATTTTAATCACTGCAGCATATCTGGGGCCTTTATTACGATTAGCCTTTCTTTAAGGGTATTTTGCCTTCGACCATGACATAACTAAATATTCCGAAATTTGGTTAGCCTAGACGTTCAATAGTTGACACTGTTACTCGATTATTCGTTTTCTGCTAAAGTGCTCAAGATATCGTTAGTTTTTACCTCGTTCGTTAACTCCGTGAACATTCCTTTTTATAAGGGGTGATGTTATTCCGTTAAACCATGAGAGTCCAAGTATGAAGTCATCCTTATCAATCAAAATTTACCTAGTTTCCCATCAACCTCCCACGTCTTTCCATTCCTGTTCTGACTCATTGCAAACCCTGCTCGCTTGAGGCGCAATGAGATTAACACCACTAAGATCTCAGTAGGTGTCATTTAAAACTTAGGCTGGTTCTCTTTGTAATTCCGCATTCACTCAACCTTAACTTGTTGGTGACTGTCGCGGACGCCCCTCACTTTATCTCCATCTCGCGCCATTTTCAGCCACGGCACCTTCCTTCTCAAGGATCAATTATCAGAAAAATGCAAAAAACCAATCAAATCAACTTGTTGAAAGACGTAATTTTTTTGACGCTTCGTCTGGAAAACGTTTTCTACAAATCTCATCTCCCTTCTAGAATAACCTCTTTATTTCCAGCACACTTACAGTTTAACACCGTCTACCACGGCTCATTGTACACCATAACCGTTTAGGATCCCTGTCTCTCCCTCCCAGAGTTAGGAGAGCTAGTGGGGATAATTGTAACTGTAATCGTCGAGTGAGAGCTGGTCTCTCAGCTACTCGGTTACCTGCTCTTTTCCCTCAGCTAATCGAACCAAGACTCAGCTCCGGCTTATTATACCACTTTTATCTCAACTCTTCACCGCCATTCTCTCTATTTTCGTGAGCTCATCAACTATGACTTCACCTGACTTGACAAGGCTATTTGTACTGGCGCTTCGTCTTGTCATGATCTATTGTAAAGAATGTTACTTAAAACAGTGTTCATCACTTATTCAGACGGAGGTGATGAATTCTCGCCCATAAGATCAGATCTTGTCATAATCTCCTAACTTTTCATTTCCACCTCGGCAATTTCTTGAAATACTTTCCGTCACTATGACTGCCTAATCATTTCCACTATTTGAACATAGATCTTTTCTTGACTACTGATTTTTAATTTGCATTTAAAACATGAAACCACGAAACATGACATCACATCTTTCAATTCGCGACGTTTTATAATCTCAGCAGTTCGTTCCAGAAACATCCAGACATCTCTGCATTTCCTTGTTCTTCGAAAGAACCCAGTTTTTAGCATCGATAACCCTTATCTAGTTTCTTACCGATAATAAGCCCTGTTTTAACCTTTTCTGATAATAAAACCACCATTGCTGGGAAAACCACCATTTCTGGTATTAAAG